TACTCATTCAGTTTTCACAGTGGTGCCGGGGGAAGGAGGCGTGCCTGGCTCTGTCTGACAGGTGCAGCAGCACAGACTGAGCGAGATGATGAGTCTGGCTTCTCCCAGCCTAGCTAGTAAATCCCGGAGCTGAGATTTGAACCTTGGGAAAACCCCATGCCATCGTCCTCAACTCGGTGCCTCCCACGGGATGACTGAATTGTGTTTCCAATGTTAACAATTTACATGGTCTCGCCTCACTTGCTTGCTTGCGTGATGAATTCACTTAACGCATCATTTTTCAAGCCCCTGCTGCATCCTAGGCAGTATGGAATGAGAGGAAACAGATGACCAGACTCCTGTCCTTCAGTAGATTTCAGTCTGCTGGTCAACCTGGGGTGGGGGTGGGGGCACGGCTGTACGTGAAGTACTGTGATGACAGGGGAGCGTGAGACGTGTGCTCAGAACAGAGATCAGTGCAGGGATGCGGAGGATGGAGAGGGCCTGCCTGTGCCTGCGGTTTCCTTCTGCACTCTGGGGAAGGAGGCATAGAAGTTAGCCCCATTCAAGGAGAAGCCCAGTACGTGTACGCTTTGAGCTAGCTTTGCTCAAACTGTTGGTCATTGCCATCAAACCATCCACGCGACTGGCTTTGTTCCTGAATGAATGATTTCTGCCCTGGGTGACTCTGGTGTCAGTGTGAGCAGCCAGCGGGGGCAGGGGCGGCAACACAAGCCTCTGTAAGGTCACGCTCTTTAGATGTTCAATTGAATCCTGGAGTTTTATGACTTGTTCTGTGTTAGGAGCCCTCAAAGTTGTGTGGGAGCTGACATTGCTTCAGAAGGAAAACTAGCATCAAACCTGCCTGCCCTGTATCACAACTGCCTGCCCTCCATCACACCTGTCACGCTCTTCACCAGAACTTGCTGGCCCTAGATCACACCTGCCTGGCTTTAGAGCACATATCCTTGAACTTAGATCATACCGGCCTGGCTCTAGATCACACATGGTTACCCCTAGATCACGCTTGGCTGACTGTGGATCACATCTGTCTGGCCGAGCTCATACCTAGCTGGCCTACATCCTACCTGCCTAAACCCTCAGGCTTCTCACTTCTTCCCAGAGGGTTTTCCTGTGCCGAGTGGACCAGAAAGGGCAGAGCTCTTCGAGTCAGAAGATCCAGTTCCACTTCTGATCTGTCCCTCCGTTGTGTGGCTTTGCCATCAAAGCTCTCTAGTCCTTGGCCTCCTGAGTTGTGCAATGGAGAAGATAATGCTCCTTCATGACACATTACGTAGGTTAACAACAATGAGGGGAAACCCTCACCGATGAGCTGGATTGGCAGGGTAGCTACTACAATGGACTCAAACAGGACACCATTCTTCCAAATGGATTAGGACTGGGGACCATCTCCTTCTGTCGTATATAAGTCACCACGGATCTGAACTGGAGGGACTGCAACCACCACCACCACCACCACCACCACCACCATCACCACCACCACCACCACCACCACCACCATCACCATCACCACCACCTCCACCACCACCACCACCACCATCACCACCACCACCACCAAATTCTTCACTTGCCCTGAGACATCACTGAAAGTTCTTCTCACCTCATCCAACATTTCACACCCGCCCTCCCCATGCATTGCCCACCCTGCCCCACTTTGTTGCCTTTTAATGTCCTCCTCCTATCCATTCCTCAGGCAGGAACCTGAGGCCCTGCTCCCCTGAAGCCTTTGTCTGGGATCCCCTATGGGGTCACTGAGTCGGCATAGCCTCCAGGGCAGTGGGCTTGCTTTCTCCGTCTTGGCATCGCTCCCTCTAACATGCTCTCGGCTTTACACACGTACCTGCTTGCTTCTCTTTTCCAAGCAAGGCGTTTAAGTGGCACCATGCTCTTCACTGCTGTACTGGAGCAGCTCCTGGTGTGTCCCAGGCACACACGCACTCGCAGAGGGAGGGAGGGAGGGAGGGAGGGCTCTGGGCTCTGCTCACATCTTTGAGTGTCTGATGCACCCAGAGGGAGCATCAGTCAGTGTGTAGGGTTTGCATGGCCATGGTTTAAGTTTGGACAGATGTTTCTAGCACGGATGAGGCTGTTCATGAGGTAGAAGAGCAGCTGCCCCTAGCATTTCCACCAGCTCAGTGGTCCCTTTTGCCATCTGTGGCCCTTGGAGACAGGAGACCCAAACTGGGCCCACTGTGGGGTCACTGACTTCTCCACCAATCTGAAGACTCTCCCACCTGCCCTTGCTGAGCACTTCCCGAGCGGCTCTGTCAGTAGGCCCTGGGCCTTCCTCTGCTGCTTTTGCCAGAGGGACCCCAGGTAGGTGATTTCGGGGAACAATGGCCAGGCTTGGTGGTGAGGCTGCCTCCAAATCTCACTCCAGTCCCTGGCAAGTTTCTCCCAGTGCCTCGGTTTGTCCGTCTGGGAAATGGAGCTGACAAGAGGGCGGCATCATGGACATGTGTGAGGTTGAAGAGCACCCCACCGAACCCAAACCCATCACCGTGGAGTCAGGGTTGACTCATTGCAACCCTGGCGGGGGAGTAGAAGCGCCCCGGTTTCCAAGGCTGGGAATCTTCACGGAGCACATGCCTTCATCTTTCTCCTCAAAGGGGCTGCTGGGCTCGAACTGCCAACTTTATGGTCCACAACCCACGCTAGCCCACCGAGCCACCGGGGCTCCTGTGCACAGAGCAGTGCCTGGCCAGCAGTGTGTCCATGTGAGGCTCTGAGCTCATGCTCACCGTTTGTCACAGGCTGCCAGTCGCTGCCCTCAGCTTGCCCTTGGTGGCTCAGCATGGTTTACGGTCCCCGGGAAAGGACGCCATGCTTGGTGAAGTGGAGGGGCAGTGCACAAGACCTGATGGGTGGACATGGTGGCTGCCGCGGTGGGCTCAGATGCAAGCGCAACGGTGAAGACGGCGCAGGACCCGGTAGCGCTTTGTTCTGTTGTACAGAACCAGCCCCACAGCACCTCTACAACACGATGTACGGTGTTTCTGTCTGTTTGTTTTACGACTGGACAGAACGTTCACATCTCTAGGAGCTGGGCCCACCCCGCCTCTTGCCATTCTGATGTCTGGGCTTGCTGTCCTGCTTGGAACGGCGACAGAAGGGTGGAGTCGGAATGACTGCCTGAGACGCGGAAGTTCCAGGTCATACGCCAGATAAGCTCTAGAAGGCACCAAGCCCTGGGGCCCCTCTCTGCCCATCCTGAGCTCCATCCCGGCACCCCTGCCCAGGAGGCAGGCTGGAGATCCCTGGCTCCTGCTGTCTCCCACACAGCGCCCCCTGCCACACACACACACCATTGGGCTGCAGCAGAGACCTGCGATTACTATTCCCTGGACGGAGGGAGCTCCGAGCTGAGCCGAGAGGAGCGCACACCCAGGCAGCCCGTGCCCTCCAGGCTGCCTCGTGCTGCGCTTCACATTAGTAGACGTGTGCAGTGAAGTCCCAGCTGGGCTGCTAACTGCAAGGTTAGCAGTTCGAACCCATCAGTCGCTGTGAGGGAGAAAGATGAGACTGTCTGTTCTCCTCAAGAAACCCAGAGGGGCAGTCCTGCCCTGCCATCAGGGTTGCTGAAAGTCGGGATCAGTCCCATGGCAGGGGGTTTGGTTTGGTTTTATTCTTAAAAAAAAAAAAAAAAGAGCCCAGGTGGCAAAGCCAGGCGAGCAAGCCCTCCAACGCTCATTAAAGGGTTCATGGTTCAAACCCATTAGCCAGTCTGCAGCAGAAAGACGAGGCTCTCTGCTCTCATAAGAGTGACGGTCTTGGACCCCACAGGGGCAGTTCTACCCTGTCCTGTAGGGTCGCTAGGAGTTTGAACCCACTCGGCGGCAGTGTGTTTGGAGTTTGGCGTACATATATAGGATTTTCTTTTGCTCCATTTGAGCGATGGGAAGCGGTTTGTGTTTCAGAAGGGAGAGGGGAGCCCCACAAGGCAGGCTGGTTCTTATAGCTCCATTAGCCCTTTCCCTCCCCCTGCAGACTTGCGCCCCATCTTGCTCAGACTGCGGGGTGGTGGTGGTGGTGGTGGGGATCTCTTGAGGATGGCGGGGGCAGTGAACACTTACAGAGCACACCTGTGAATTTTCTATCCAACAATTCATGCACCTGGTCTTTCAACTCCTCCACCGCCACCCCCCCACGGAGCATCCTCCATCCCCCTCTTCCCTGAGCTTCCTCCCCCCCTGGGGCAAACACCCCAGTTTGGGTTTCCTGAGAAGCGTGCCCCTCCCCAGAGTTACCGTCCCCCTTACAGAGTTGTCTATTGTTGGGCTAAAAGCCAAGCCATGGAGGTGGGTTCATTTCCAGGCGTGAAGGGCAACGAAGGCCGGGGTCTGCCAGCTTCTCTCCGACCAGTAAGCCCGGTCTCTCTCTGCGTGAGTTTGTTCAGTTCCTCGCTTCTCTCTCGGGGACACTCTCAGCCATCCCAGGCCCTCCTGTGCTGGGCGGGCAGCGCTCTTCAGGCAAGCCCCCCACTCACCTGGAAGGGCATGCTTGCCCATTCTGGATGTTCCGTCTGCAGAGGAAGCGGCTGGAGGAAGTGAAGCGGGAGGAGAGAGAGCTGCTGGAGGCCCAGTCCACCCCCCTGAGGAACTACCTGATGACCTACGTCATGCCCACCCTGATGAAAGGCCTGAATGAGTGCTGCCAGGTCAGGCCTGAGGACCCTGTGGATTTTCTGGTGAGCCATTCGCCTGGGTTGCTTTAGGGCATATATTTTTAAAATACTTTTATTGGGGGCTCTTACATCTCTTATCACAATCCATACATTCATCTAGCACATTTTCACATATGCCGTCATCATCATTTTCAAAGCATTCTGCCCACTTGAGCCCCTGAGATCAGCTCCCCGTTTCTTACCCCTCCCTCCCCCACCCGCCATCCCTCACAAACTCTTGATACGTTATAGATTTATTTTTGCCATACCTTATATCGTCCTCCGTCACCCCTCCCCCACTTTTCCATTATTCGTCCTCCTGGGAGGGGGTTCTAGATTGATCCTTGTGATCAATTCCCCCTATCTCCCTCTACCCTCCCCTAGTCCTCCTGGTATCTCTACTCTCCTTGTTGACCCTGAGGGTCAATATATATATATATTTTAAAGAACATCCATTTGAAAATAAAACACAGATGAAGCTCAACAGAAAACCCGTGAGGTGTCCTGGTGGCGTGGTGGTTACGGGCTGGGCTGCTAACCACAAAGTTAACAGTTTGAACCCACCAGCCAGCCTGGGAGAAAGACCAAGCTTTCTACTCCCGTAGAGAGTTACTGTCTGGGGAACCCCACAGGGGCAGCTCTCCCTGTCCCAGGCATCATTAGGTGCTGAAATCACCGTGAGGGCAGTGAGTGAGTTAAACGGAAAACCATTCGAGAGAGAAGTTGTGTCCTGGACGTTCTGGGAAACCCGCTCAGAGTTCAAAATCGGATTTTTAAAACCATTCATTGGAACGTGTGAATGATGTGTGTTTACTTTTAAATGCAGAAATGTTTACGATTACAAATCTATGCTGAGTCATAGGCGTTTAGTACTGTCTTTACCGATGGGTGACTTCTTGTTCCTTCTCCTGCCCCCAGGCTGAATACCTCTTCAAGAACAATCCTGAAATACAGTGAGGATGAGTCACCGATCTTTCCCGGAGTTGGGACCGGAAAATGTGCTTCAAAATATTTCCTCATTTTTAAAATTTTTCTGCAAATGCTTGTTCTGAGAATCATTGTTTGAAAAGCAACAGCAAAACAAACGCATGACAAGGAGTGCCTACCGTATATATATTTTATTTTTAAAAATCATTTATTGGGGGCTCATAACATTCCATACATCAATTGTATGAAGCATATTTGTACATATGTTGCCATCATCATTTCCAAAACATTTTCTACTTGAGCCCTTGGTATAAGCTCCTCTTTTCCCCTCTCCCTCCCTCCAACCATATTTATTAGCTAAATTGATCTCCATCCGTGCACAGCTCATGGGACAAGTATTGATTTATTACTCCATTCTGAGGTCAGTAAAAAGTCTGGTGCACCCTAAGTTGATTTCCCCATAAAGAAAAGCAGACTCCTAATCTCACATGCAGGCTAATGAGTTTGCCCGACTGCTGTGGCCCCAGGACCAATGGTGCAGACTGGTGCTAAGGTAATGACCAAGGTCTATGCTGTGCTGCATCACTATAACTCTGACAGGGGGGCTTCCAAAAGTTTACTTCCTGTGTTGAGGGTCAGGATCCCAACCAGGGAGACAGACAGTATTGTAAACGTCTTGGATGGGAAATTCATCTAGCGGGATAAATAATTCTAGCATTGGTAATAACTAGAAAGTTGCTGAGTATTTCCATCAAGCTAGCTTTATAGCGATATAGGCATCAGTCCCTCCTGTCAGCCCGAAGAACCATGATGCCTGTCGTTACCTTGTTGGTAGCCGGTTTCAATTCATAGCGACCTTTGTGCAGCAGAAGGAAACACGCCTCGTGCCGCGCCATGCTCACAATTGTGTGTGTGGGAGCCATCGCTGCAGCCCCGGTATCGGTCCACCTTGCCGAGGGCCCTCCTCTTCTCCGAACTTTACCACGCATGTCCTTCTCCGGGGATCTGCCGCTTCCGACTTGTCCAAGGGATTCTAAAGGACATTGTGACCGTACTTCTTCCAACACAGATTTGCTCTGCATTTTGACTGCCCACGATAGAGGTCATAGTTGTCTGCATCACCATAGTTCAGACGATTCTTCTCTGTTCCTTCTTATTCCATGTCCAGTTTGCACAGCACATGAGGCGACTGAAAACACCACGACTTGAGTCTTCAGAGATCGTGTGCCGCAGATTTACTCAATGCAGCTCGTTTAATTTCTCCTCCCCCTCCTTGTCATTTTATGGGGAGCTTTTACAGCGCTTATAACAATCCATACATCCATTATGTCAAGCGTATTTGTATGTAGGTTGGCATCATCCTTTTCAAAACATTTTTTTCTACTTGAGCCCTTGGTATCAGTTCATTTTTTCCCCTCCTTCTTCCACCCTCCCACCCTCATGAACCTTTGCTGAGTTATAAATTATTATTTTCATATCTTATACCATCCGCTGTCTCCCTTCACCCATGTTTCTGCTACTTGTCACCCTGGATGGGGTGGGGGTGGGGGTTATAAACCTATAATTTCTATCGGTTCCCCGCTTCTCCCCACACCTTCCCCCTACCCTCATGGTATCACTGCTCCCATTATTGTTCCTGAGGGGTTTATCTGCCCTGGATCTGTACCAGCGTATATACTCTGGTCGAGCTGGTTTGTAAGGTAGATCCGGGGTCATGACAGTGGTGGTGGGGTGGGGAGGAGGAAGCATTAAAGAACTAGAGGAATACTGTATGTTTCATCAGTACACACTGCACCCTGGCTGGCTTGTCCCTTCCTTATGACGCTTCTTTGACGGGGTGTCCAATTGTCTACAGATGGGCTTTGGGCCTCCACTCCGTCCCTCCTTGTTTTCATCGATATGATTGTTTGTCTTGGGTCTTCTGATTCCTGATACCTGATCCTGTTGACACCTCGTGATCACACAGGCTGGTGTGCTTTTTTCGTGTGGGCTTTGTTGCTTCCCAGCTAGATGGATGCTTGTTTATCTTCAAGCCTGTAAGACACCAGATGCTGTATCTTTTAATAGCCGGGCACCATCACCATCAGTTTTCTTCGCCACATTTGCTTATGCTCCCATTTTGTGTTCAGCAATCATGTCAGGAACATGAGCATCACAGAATGATGCTGTAATTAGAACAGTCTTCTTGCATTGAGGGAGTACTGGAGTAGAGGTCCAATGTCCGTCTGCCACCTTAACACTTAACATATAAATATATGTACACAGATCTGTGTCCCTAACATTATATATAAATATACTTACACATGTACTTGCCTGTTTTTAAACCTCTATAAATGTCCTTTGCCTTCTAGTCACAAATTTTTAACTACTTTAGCCCTCTTGGGCTAGGCCATGTGCTTCAGACCAGCCAACATGCTTTCATCTTCTTCTTTAGCTCCTGTGAACCAGGTTCACGGGTGCTAATAACCAGACTGAACCCGTTTTCTTATTGCCACATTTCTTCCCACTTCCATGCAACACGTGGCCCAGGTGGTCACCTAGCAAGCATGTCAGACTGCGTACAGGCTCTCTTAACGTTCAGTCCCAGAGAGGAGAGGTCCTTCATGGCTTTAAAACATTTTCAGCTTCAGACACAAACCATTAGCTTAAAATTTAAAAAGTCAAAAGGGTTCCTTTTTCCTCTGCCGAGGACAGTAATCATCACCAATGTCTGCAAATGCCCAGAGCACTCGAAGCACTGGATGGGGCTTACCTCGTCAGAGCCTTCTTTACAGGCCTGCGCTATACCCACTTCAAAGATTCGCTTGAGAAAAAGAAGATTCAATTGATGATATGAGCAAGTAGGCTTACAAACTCTTTATTTTCACTTTGTATTCATTATTTTAATCAACTATTGTAGTAATAACAGTCATTCTCAAACAGTATGAACCTAGTAAAGCCAAACCCTAAACTTAATTTTTAAACAATCAAACGTAATTTTAATTAATTTTATTTTAATCCTTATTTAAACTATTTCATTGACATGAAATATGGCCTCAGGCCCTGACTACATTAAGCCAGGCATGGTCTCTGTCAGAGAGGTTTAAGGGGGCCTTTTTAACCCCCTTAACTTAAAATTTACTTTTATTACATTGATTTTTGCCGTCTTAGACAGGATTAACCAAAGATAACTTCTAGGAATTAAAACTTTAACTTTCCATGTTCTTTCCAGAAAACAGTTGAGTAAACAGTGTGGCCTTATCTGACCTCTGGCTGTGTAGCTACAAGCAATTTTTTATGAGTCCCACTGTTGACGGGAACAAAAGATGGGAGCAAAGGGAGAGGTTGAGGAGGGGCTAGCCCATCTTCCTGTGTTGCTATTAATTTCTCTGTTAGCCCAGGAAGGAGATTGTGTTTAATTCCAAATAACACTGTTTTACAGAATTACAAATAGTTGAATTTATACCTTTAGAAAAATTTTTATGAGGAGCCCAAATAATAATGGTGACAGAATTATTAGCAATATATTTTTAATGTGGTCTTTGACAGCGTAATCAATGCCACTCCTTTCGTACAATTTCATGATAAGTGAAAACTGTACAAAATTTATTATTTTGTTTGCCAAGCTGTACAGCATTATTTTTATATTTAGTAAACGTTATTCCTGCTAAGAGAAAATTCTATAATTGGTATGATTAGCTGATAACCAAGGCATTTACACTTGCATTTTAGCTTTAAGACAAGCTTTTGCAGATTTCGCACACAGTGGATAAGAGTTATAACTCAAGTAAGGTTCCAGGCACGGCCTGTCTTGTTGAAAAGGCAACTTCTTTTTTCCGTCTTTCCCATGGTCCTGGAGTTCACTGAGTGTCATTGGTGGAAACCACAAGTCCTGGAAAAGGCTGTTTAACAATTTGTACGAGGCCTGTACGCAAGCTCAGTGAGAGTGATCAGCACATACTTTAGAGTGGCAGTCCTCAACCTGTGGGTTGTGTGACCCCTTAGTGGGTCGAACGATGCTTTCACAGGAGTCACCCGATTCATAATAGTAGCAAAATAACAGTGATGAAGTAGCAACGAAAACAATTTTATGGTTGGGGGGTCACCACAACATGAGGAACTGTGTTAAAGGGTCGCGGCATTAGGAAGGTTGAGACCCACTGCTTTAGATGAGCTAACAAGCACTGGCAGCTTGGCCAGAAACAGGCGTTAAGGAGCCTCAGGAGAATTACTCGGTCTCTGACGGAGACGGTCCTGGTAGGAATCTCTGGAGACGACCTGCTTAAGGTAGACACACCAAAGAGAAATTCACGCATTTTAATTTTTATTATTATCTGTTGAAATATAAACACAATTTTCCCCTTGATTGAGTAGAGGTTTTAATATTTTATTATCATTATTACTCAATGCTTTTCTTCTTTATAACATGTGCATTGGTTCCTTCCTAAGGGTCGCCTGTTCTGAATCTGAACCCTGACTGTCTGGTTTTAGAGGCTCCTCAGGGGTCTGACCTGCTTCTTTAAGGATGCGGCTACAGTGCAGGCTCTATCCCTTTCACTTGTTTCTCCAGGCATTACGAACCCCTTGAGCAATTTTTATTCATTCTGATAAAACAATTTTTTTAAAAAATTCGTTTCTATTTGCTTTCCTTTTTTTACTATTTCCTTCCATGATGTTTCCCCCCACACACCACGCACACACAAACTCGCGCCTCGTGGTGAATACGGTTGTGATCCTCTGACGTGAAAAGCACCACTAGAATTTGTTGGCTGTCATTTCAAGTGGGGCCATAAGTTTAAAAAAAAAGGAGGGACTTCACCAGACTGTGGGGCAGGAAGCCAGCATGTGCTGACGCTCTCTGCTCTTTACAGGTGAGAACAGGCAGTCAGCGTCTGTGACCACTCTTGCTCTCCAGGGATGAGAGTGGGGGTGGATGCTGGCTGCGGGGGATCAGGGACAGAGGGCACAGCAGACAGATTCAAGCAAGGCAGGGGGCTTTGCCCAAGAAGCCACAGTACATGGGCAGGGCTTGGAGCCACGCAGAGAAATTTTTATTTCACAAAGGGATCCTGAAGTACAGGTGGAACCAGGTGTGCCACCGAGAACACCCTGAGCCACCAAGCTCAGAAAGTTCTTATACAGAAAGTCAGAG